AAGGGATGTGGGCAGAAGTGATGTGCCTCACTTCCAGGTTTGTGACCTAATATATGCCACATGATTCTCCACATCTTGTTCTGTATTTAGAGGAAAGCTTTAAGCAGAGAATGCATTAGAAAAACCCTTAGGAGTCCCCTGGGGATAGCAGAGGCACAAGATAGAAAAAAGCTGGAACCCTGAGTCACCAGGTGGTAGAGAGCAGGCCAAAAATATTTATGTGCATTGAGCATTGGGTAGCCAAGAATGAACTTTTATTAAGTTGCCACGGAAACTTGGGGGTTGTTTTTCACAGCAGCTACTATTAATAAATCTGGCTAATAATATAATAATATAGAATACAACTCAAATGTGAATTAAGCAATAAATAGTTCTCAGTATTTATTATAGAAAAATAATAAGAATATTTACTATTTATTGAATTCCAGGATTTATACAAAGTACAATATATTTATTAACTAATTTTATCCTATAAGAAATGCAATGAGATAGGCACTATTACTGCTATCTCCATTATAGTGGTTAAGTAATTGGGGCTCAGAGAATTGGAGACATTTACTTAAGATCATAGAATTACCAATACGATTTGAATCCATATCATATTGTTAGACGTGAGAGCCATCTACTTAACTCTGTATTGTCTCCCACTGGTAGGTACCATGGTGTATGTTGAACAACTAATATCTCATATTATTTATTTCAAAAAGATAAGCATAGTTTAACAACTATGGTTAGTATAGTTCCCTTTAATTTATAGAATAATGTAGGAGATCCATTTTACCTCCTGTAGAACAGCAGAAATTCTTTTTACCAGTATGTGCTTAGATAAAAATATGTGTTTATTTGTGGGCTGGTTTCAAACCCTTATTTTGACCACTAGGACTATTAGTTGGTTCTCAAAATCTCTACCAACTCATTGTTATCATTAGGTAAATAATAGATGACTCATCTGTACACACTTTTTAAAACTCTAGCCAAATGGACGTTTGAATAACAACAGAAATCTCTTTTGAAATTGGATGATAGAAGTTAACCTATGATAACAGCAAGCTATAATTTGTGAGTCAAAGATTCTAGTTTTTCGGTGGATACCTCTTCTAAGTAGCGGTTTATCTATGGGACAATTTACCCCATCCCTTCATCCTACTTGAAGTTTGAAGACAATGCTCCATGATGAAAAAACACCTTAGATTCAATGGCCAAATATATATTTAAATATGAGGGTGCTGCATGCCTACCCCACCTTGCTTGTCTGAAGAAAGGTCTTTATTAAAAAAGTAAACCAGTTTGAAAAAAAGACCACGACCTGGTCACATTTTGCTACTTTCCCCTGTTCTCGGAAGCTGGCTTGACCCTAACAAAGGGAACAACAGCCAAAAGGCACAGCTCGACTGACATGTTCTGTCTTGCCATTGCTCTGCATTTGGAACAAATACTTTTTTACCTTTCCTGACAAAACAGCCCCATTGTTATCAACGGTAAATGTATTAAAACACACACAGGGGTATTTCAGTACGTGTATCGTTCATGAAAAATATTATTGCCTGACAGGCTCCAATTGGCAAGTGAAAGAGGTTTTATTGAAGGAAACAGCAGTACCAACAGCCAGCAGTGCATGGGAAGGTAATTGTTCCTTGAACATTGCTGCGCACGTTCGTTGTTCGCTCGTTCGCGCAAGCGAGGGCCCCTGCGCCAGCCTCATCCACCCCGGCGAGCCTGCTAGCCGGGCAGCCAGCCGCCTCTCGCGGGATCCGGCTGTCAAGGCAAACTTCCATTCTTTCCCTTTCCCTGAGCTGAGCTCTACCCCAGAATTTCCACCGCCTTCCCGAGTGAAAGCTCCAAAAGAGCTCCCTTCTAAATTGTATCGCCCTGCCACCGTCTTCAAACTGACAGAATAAAAGAGCCAAATTCCAAAAGTATGGTCTGAGCGACTCCTTAGCTGCGCTGGATGGTTACCTCTTAGTGGGCTCTGAGAACAGGCTGTGGCCATTTTGATGCTGCTTTAACTAAATCTTACAGTCCTTTTCTAGTTAGTTATTATTTAAGGTTGATTTGCTTAATTAGTAGGGAGAGAGAGAGAGGGAGAGGG